TATATGGGTCTGTAGGTATATATATATGTGTATATATATTGTTGATGTTGGGTACAATCCCCTTCACAAATGTTCTCCCCAGAAGCAGGTTTCCCTCAGTAGACTTAACAATATATGGACGGATATGAGGATTATTATTATTTTTTTCACATCACTCTCCATTTTCTATACATCGAGAAACCTGTGTGTATATATATGCAAAAGAAGATATTCTGATCCAGGAAATATAGCTATGGTTTCACAGGTGTCGCTATACTGACTCATATTGAAAGAATGTATTGCTTTGGATTACGGACTGCATAATTTCGAGTGAAACACTCGGATTCTAATTAGCTCTCATTAGCAAACTATTTAACACACCTTTGCAGGACATCAATCACACGCCCCTCCGAAGAAGCCCCGGTTGTGGGGGGAAACGCGTCAGGGTAGCGTGTGCTTTAGCTTCCCAGGATACCCACCATTTGATCCCCTACATGGTGGGGTGAGAACGAGACCTTGAGTGCCTTCGTATCTTAAAGACGGAGCTAACCCGGTCCGGACTTTGTCTGAACGCAACAGTGGCGAAGTTGGCTCGGATCGCAGCGGAGACCGAGCAAAGCGAGCAGGCACTCATTAGTGCAATCACATGCAGCTCTCCAACCCCACTGGGACCCGGTCACTCCGCTGTGGGGACTCCACCGCAATTCATCCATTTGTGCGGCCGCACTTTGGAATACCATCTGGATGTTTACTTGGACCTGGAACGAAGTCCTGCGGGTTGATGTGAGTGTCAAACTAACGGAGGAATAGGCATCTACTGAGCCTCCGGGCTCTTGATACAAATAGATTCTCTGGAATCCACATCGCTTTACACGGATACATTTCTTTGAAACCAATTACACTCACACATCAATGTGGGATCAGATCAGAACTGTCCTCCCTCTGAAGCTACACGCGTTGTGAGTACAGCTTCGATATTGTGTTTTTCTATTTTTGTTACACCATCGCGTTTATTCCAGAGACTCCCTGCTACTTAGGAGATCCGCAGTCTTGAAACCCGTACCATTGAACCAGTGTGACCCCTAGGGAAGCTATTTTAAATGGTTTTAGATGTTTTTGTATTAGGTGTATATACATGTATTTTTCTATTATTACATTTTGTCATTAATTATACATATATGCAATCTGTTTACTTAGACCAACTCCGCTCAAGGGATTTCTATTTTTTAGGGGATAATCATTTTTTGAATTGTCTATTGAAACCCTGGTGATTGGTACACACTTTTGTTTTATCAAGCGTAACTCCATTTGTTCCCCTTTGTTATGACTATGGCATTGTCCAATTGGGCTCTCGTTGGGTGACCCTTTAGTTGAGGGTTTCAGTGTTGGAAAGACCTGAGCTCCAGAATGTTGATGGAAAGCCGACATTCCTTCATCGACCAAGTCCACTAAACTGCTAAGGAATCCAGGACTCCCCCCAACCCAACAGGCTGGCATCTGTTGTGAGCATCCTTTAAGCCTTGGGAGGATGTCAGTGCATAGGATGATCCAGAGACTTGTTTGGCTTGTCCCACACAGCCAGAATGGGTTGTACAGCCTGGATTGAAATCGGGCATAAGGTACAACCTCCTTATGCCACCAAGGCCACCATCAGGCCCAGAAACCACATGCAGAAGCCATTGAGGGTTGGTTTTTGGACCAAATGGTTCTAATATGGAGGAAAATGGGCAGTCATTTTTACAGAGGGAAAACATTTCTGGCCAGGGACCTACAGTATCTCACAGAAGTGAGTACACCCCTTACATTTTTGTAAATATGTTATTATATAATTTCATGTGACGACACTTTGCTACAATGTAAAGTAGTGAGAGTACAGCTTGTATATCAGTGTACATTAAAGCCCGCAAACAGTTTGCTGAAGACAAGCAGACTAAGGACATGGATTACTGGAACCATGTCCTGTGGTCTGATGAGACCAAGATAAACTTATTTGGTTCAGATGGTGTCAAGCGTGTGTGGCGGCAACCAGGTGAGGAGTACAAAGACAAGTGTGTCTTGCCTGCAGTCAAGCATAGTACTGGGAGTGTCATGGTCTTGGGCTGCATGAGTGCTGCCGACACTGGGGAGCTACAGTTTATTGAGGGAACCATGAATGCCAACATGTACTGTGACATACTGAAGCAGAGCATGATCCCCTCCCTTCAGAGACTGGGCCGCAGGGCAGTATTCCAACATGATAACAACCCCAAACACACCTCCAAGATGGCCACTGCCTTGCTAAAGAAGCTGAGGGTAAAGGTGATGGACTGGCCAAGCATGTCTCCAGACCTAAACCCTATTGAGCATCTGTGGGGCATCCTCAAACGGAAGGTGGAGGAGCGCAAGTTCTCTAACATCCACCAGCCCTGTGATGTCGTCATGGAGGAGTGGAAGAGGACTCCAGTGGCAACCTGTGAAGCTCTGGTGAACTCCATACTCGAAAATAATGGTGGCCACACAAAATATTGACACTTTGGGCCCAATTCGGACATTTTCACTTAGGGGTGTACTCACTTTTGTTGCCAGCGGTTTAGACATTAATGGCTGTGTGTTGAGTTATTTTGAGGAGACAGCAAATGTACACTGATATACAAGCTGTACTCTCACTACTTTACATTGTAGCAAAGTGTCATTTCTTCAGTGTCGTCACATGAAATTATATCATAAAATATTTACAAAAATGTGAGGGGTGTATTCATTTCTGTGAGATACTGTATGTAGGACAAGGACCAGGTACTCCAGGTGGTGTGACAGGTCCAATGTCGATTTTTGAAGTTTGAGGTTCCATCTAAAGCTCTGCAGTCTGTATTGTCCATTGGATGTTGGGAAACAGGGCATAGAATGAGCCATCCTTCAAAAGGAGGTTGTCTAGATACCCCTTAATGTGGATACATAGTAGAGCATGGACGGAAGCCAACAGTAGCCTTTGGTGGTGACCCAAGGAGCTATGGACAGAACAAATGGAAGAGCAACAAACTGGAAGTGCTGCTTGCCCACTGCAAAACACAAGAATGGTTTTTAGCCTCTGGAAATGACATTCTGGACCCAAACTGGAAAGTGGGGCACCCCCTCATTGTGAAGAGGGATTGGAGCTATAATTGTTAAGCTTGGGAGTCCAAGATTTGCCGAATAACTGGACACCAGGTTTGGACTTCAAAATAGAGGCCTAAAAGTAACCTGTGGGGACTTTTGCCTTCTTTTTCTGAGGCAAAAGAGTGCTGTTTTCTCTCTGTGTTTCTTGATGCAAGCTTCTAATTTACCAAAGAGTCATTTCTCTGTGAAAGGCATCATCTCTAGGCATCTCTTGCAGGCAGGCTCTGCAGACCAGCACTTCAGACTGTCCACCAACCCTTCCATGCAGTCATGTAAATCCATGGGAAGCAGTTGTTGGAGACCAGACAGATCCATGATGATGGATCAGGATCTAGGGCCATGTGCTTAGTCCGGACAGCCAAGGTCTGGCAAACTGCCATGGAGGTGACAGCAGGTTAAGTAGTTGGACTAGCTAGGAAAAATAAGGCCTTAAAAAGGGTCTGTAACCTCTTGTCCACTGGGTCCTTGAAGACATAAATATCCTCAACGGGGCCCACCAGAGTCTTGTTCGGACAGGAAATGGCAGGGTCCACAACAGGAACACCTTATTTTTTCAGTAATCTCTCCCTAATAGAGTATTCCAGAATCTGAAATTGAGTAGAATCTGAAATTGACTAGGGGGGAGATGCAGAGGGGGCCTAATGCAGGATCCAGAGCTCTGAGGGAAATTATAGGCCAGCTCTGCATCTTCATTCTGGCTCTGGGTGTACAAAGCATTGCAAAATATTTAGTTTAAGTTTTTTTAAAGGTACTTTTGCAAGACATTTGCAAACACTTAAACCAGCTAAATAGTTATGTCTTAGAATATTTTTTTCTGATTTGGTTGTGTCACCTATTTTGCTATTTTAGCATTTAGCAGTTTGATTTGGATGAATACATGTATATTTGTATACATTGTCGTTTGTATAGATGTATGAAGATTTATACAAATATTTTCTGGATATAGTGTTAATTTATACCATTACGCAATGAAAGTTTTTTGCATTAAGAGACACACTTTGGGGTTGATTTACTAAAGGTAATTAGGCTGTCCACTTTGTAAGGGCATTTGTATTAGCAAGGAAATTTTCACTTAGCTTAGTGAACGTGATGAAAATTCACTTCACTAAGAATACCCAATCACGTGCATGGAAAATAAAAAAAATAGTATTTTTGTTTGCACACAATTGGATAATCATTCTCTTAGCTAAGGGGAACATTTCTTGCAAAGTGAAACTCCTATTTACCTTTAGTAAATAAACCTTCGTGGATCTTTTTTTAGTTTCATCTCACTAGCTCTGGACATCAATTTGATATTTTAATCTCCCTTTCCTTTCATTTAAATCAGGATAGCTGAGAGCATTACACAACCACAAAATAGGCAATATGACTTGTATTCATACTGGCATTAGCAAACAAACATTACAGTAGATACAACATTTTTATGATTTGCCTTTTGTCTCTGTCATTTAACATATACAAATAATAGCTTTATCTATACAATGTAAATATATATATATATACATATATAATATTTGCAACTCTAAACTGACACACTGCTTAATAAGAACAATAAACCCACACATACAAATAAAACATGCACTCTAACATGCCTGTATCATTTTAGCTGAAATGTGATTAAAAGTATTTGGGACTGGGACAGTCAAAAAGGCACCATAAATGTGACATATCACTGTGGTGCTGTGACTGGCATAGAATGCTGACATGTAGAGGGACATATATTCATTCATGGCCCAGTTAATAAGTTGTGCAGTGAATAATTAAAGTTGCATTGGTGATATTTACAGACAATAGTACAGAGGAATCACATAGAGCCAAAGCATGAATATTGTGGGTCTGTGAGCATTGCTTGATGGGACTTTCACAGTCACTGGAACATTTGAAGTCACTGGCACATTTGATCTGCACAGACTGCAGTTTGATCCACAGTAGTTACAAGAAGATATTTGACTCATGATCAGGGAATTATATGTCCTTGTTGCTGTCATTTCTAGAAAACATAAAATAAATATTATTTGCAAGGAATATACATAGTCATTGACATGTAAACCCTATCTGAATGACATTTTGGGGTCTATTTATCAATACTTACCCAAGATTCACACATTTTTCAAATGGATTCTATAAGAAAATGTGTGAATCTTGGGTAAAGCATTGGTAAATAGACCCCTTAGTTTGATAAAACACTGTGAGGGGAATTTATCAAGACTGGAGAGGACAAAATCTGGAGCAGGTGTGCATGGCAACCAATCGGCTTCTGTCTTTCATTTTCAAATCTTAACTGAACAAACTGAAGAGAAAAGCTGACTGGTTGCCCCGGGCAACTGCTTCAGATTTTGTCTGCTCCAGTTTTGATAAATCCCCCCCTGTGTATCTTAAACAATTGCTATTGGTTTTAATTAAATACTGTTTTAATCCTATTTTTGTATATCAACACTTCTGATCTCCTGCAGTAGCAAGGGTGCATCCAATTTCACATGCTTTTTGTAGAATTGGTATTTTATATATGTTGTAAAAATTATTATTGGTCAGATGCTAGTCTTTTGTATATTCCTATAACATATAGAATACTATAGCTATTTATAGTACAGTATGTTTGTCTTATATTATGCATTTTGCACTGTGAATTGGACAATGGGGCCAAATATTTACCTAAAGCTCCAAGGTACAGAAAATACACACAATCATGCAATTATCTTAAGATGGCTGAAGGCATTTAAAAAGATTGTTAGTGCAACTAAAGCTCTACAGGTAGACTTTTCTGATAACGTTCATTTATAAAAGATCTTTCATATAAACCATACTCCCATGATCAATTAACATTTGCTAGGAAATCACACATTTCTTCAGACCACTATCTTATGTCTATGGGTGACTTACGTTATACAAGAAGCAATACAACCGAATTGTGGTTGAACCACAAAAAGCAGGAAAATCTAAAAAAGATATAGTGGAGGCATCTACAGTACCAAGTATTGTATAGTATAGTATAGAAAAAAAAGGGGTTCTGAGGAAGAGGGCGTGGCCCCGGTCACGCCTCAACCTAGGCATTCTGTGCTGTGACACAGAAACCACTATCTGTGCAGCTCTTACATGCTGTATCTACACTAGGGAAGGTGCCCCTTGTTTTTGTTTTCTCATCAGATATCGCAGTCTCCCTGACTGATGTGGGGCAGCGACCTGTAGAACTTCTGCATGTATATTTCTTCAGTGGAGTGGTCATCTGGTGCTATTGGTTTTATTTTCGTATAGTATACTATTGGCTTAACAGAGATTTATTAATTGGATTTTTATTCATCTCCTGCCAAAGCTAAGTTAGTGATCAGGGTAATCCTGAAAAATACTCAAGAAAGGTTATCCGATAAAACATAGTACTGAATTTGTTTTTAAATAATTGGAAACCACCTAATACTGTTTGTATCTACTCCCATCATTTCAATTGGCAGTGCTTGTGTTGCGTGGAAGCAGTTATGTGCGGTTGCCAACCACAAAATGCTGCAACAGGCTTGTTAGGGGCTTATACTGTATATGAATAGTATACTAGCAAAAAACATTATCATGTTGTCCAAAGCATCAACTTCCAATTGTAATTTAGTAGCACAGAGTTAAAAAATTAAACAAAGATTCTGACTGGTTGCTATGGGCAACAAGAAACCTTATTTTCTGCACACCTTTTTATACAGAAGTTGTGACAGCTTGTAAAAGGATATGCTTGCTTGTGTACCATTCAGTTTGTTTATGCTACGCATTTCAAGAGGTTGGTAAGCATTAGCATAAAAAGGCTGACAAAAGAAAATGTTAACTAGTGCTGGCTTATCTGTCTGTAAATAATTATGCAACTTCATATATATTTAGTATCTTTGTATTTGTATTTCTTTTCTCTGTTCCCTTCTTGTCTATTTTTTCAGCACATTTGAAATTTTTGTAAGAAAAATATAATCTCAGAAATAATACCTTTGATTGTACTTACCAGGGTTGTAATAGTCATAGACTTGAATCACGGCATCCCGAGAACCTGCTACTTTGGCAAAACGAATCATTGGAACTGATATACAAAGCTTATCCTTGGTCAGCTAGAAAAAAATATAAGTTACAATCAATTACTAATTTTGTCTTTGTTTCTAAAGTTGGAAGGGCTGCTAATATAAATACCCTGCTTCATCTCCACTGACAGTCTTTAATAGCCCTGTTGTGCCCACCCTACTCATTGCTTTAGCATACTGATGAAAGTGTGCCTTTGTGGCCTATTTATTAAACCTCTATGGGTCACAAATATGAAGGTCTATTTAACTATTTTTTTCTGCATATACAAATGTTGGATCTATGTTTTGCATTGAAAATGTGCTTTGTTGACTCTTCTTATATTACATGTGTTATGGTTATATTGGTACTAGATTTGATCCCAGTGATGAGAACTTTGTTACGTTGTCCATGTGGAGTGACTGCATCCTCTTCAACCATAGCACAACTCCCCATAGCGACCAATAACACTCATGTTCTCATCAGTCTGTTATAGTAAACTATTCTAAAATTTATGACACAAGAAAAAACTGTGTTTGTTTTATATGGAAATATGCTTTTTTGTTCTGCATATATTCAACAGTCACATTTGGCTATTTGTTGATTTAAAGTGAAACTAAACCGAAAAATGCATTCAAGTACCTTTCCTATTAACAAAAATATCACTTATTTGTATATCGCTCAGCTGTAGATACTCAGATCATCTCCGAATTGGTGCTGATACTGTCCTTCCTTCTGAAGGGTAGCTACTTTTGTTCCCTAAGGTCCCTGTGTGCAGGGCCGTAGATAATTGTTTTTCCTGGGGGGGGTTCAGCTTCCTCAAATTATAAGATTTTATGTAGCAGACACACCAAGGTTTGAAGAAAATATACCGGCCATATCATTCCTAAACAAATCCTTTACCCTGAGCAATACCGATTTTGTTGTTCGACACCATATGGATAAAAACCATGTTTTCAAAAGACGTATAATTGGTACCAATTCACACAAACCACTTGGTATATACTTATTGGGATTTTTTTTACCAAAAATATTTAGCAGAATACATTTTGGCCTAATTTTAGGAAGAAATTTTATTTTATTTGATATTTTGTATAACAAAAAGTTGAAAATATTTATTTCCACAATTTTTTGTCTTTTTTCATTTATATAAAATGTTTTAATAAAAACCAGCAGCGATCAAATAGCACCAAAAGAAAGCTCTATTTGGGTAAACTTGCACGGCCATATTGGGCAGCTCCCAGGAAGGACAGGTGTTGCGTGTGATTAGTACGCAGCCCCTGTCCTTCTCTATGGGAGTACATGACCATACGCCGCCCTACGCTCACCCCAAGTGCAGGTCCGTATGGGTGCAGGTGTCCCGTCTTGGAAGCAGACAGGATCCATCCTGTCAGCGTACGAGTACCCGCACAGACGTGCAGGGTGGGTGAGCGTAGGGCGGCATACGGCCACGTACTCGGGAGCTGCCCGATACGGCCATGCACTTAGCACGGAGCTGTGCGTGCCGGCAGTTTCTCGTGTGAATGAGGCCTAAGAGTCATTCTTTAAGGTAAGTCCCTACAGTAGGATTGGGAAGGGGGAAAAAAAAGTTTAACTTTAATGTCACTTTAAGATGTGTGAGGCTAAAAGATACCTGCTACCACAAGGGAGCTGGTCCCATGTCCCCCAATTTTACAGGCGTCACCTGCAGATCCAAGACTGGTTGGCCAGTCCGGCCCTGGCCAAGACCCTCTGGGGGGGGGGGTTTGGACCCCCCTATCTCCCCCTTATCTACGCCCCTGCCTGTGTGTTTTGTAAATTACCCACTGCTCCAAGCTCGCTCTCGTGATAGGCTACAATCTCAATGCAAACTTGTAAACTAAACATGAGATTATAGTCCATCACAGGAGTGAGATTGGAGCGGTGGCTACTTTAGAACATACCCAGGGACCATGGGGACAAAAGGAGCCATCCTCCAGAAGGAAGGACAGTGTCAGCACCAATTCAGAGATGGTTTGAGAATCTACAGCCGAGTAATACAAAAATAGGTCATGGTATTGTTAATAGTTCAGGTACTTGAATGCATTTTTAAGGTTTAACTCCTGAGCTTAGTGTCACTTTAAAAAAAATATAAGTAGCAAATTTATTTTTAAACTTACCGAATCAAAATAAAGATAAACTTTGTCTTCTTTTGGCTCCACAAGCTTAAGAGATTGGGGTCTTATAAAATCTTCAGTTTTAATTGTGAATCCACTCAGGAAACCAACATCTAGGAGTGCCATACCACTTTCATTCCCTGGTCCCTGGTAGCTGTGAACAGATAAAAATTGCTATACTGTAAATAATATTAAAGCAACGTTCAAATACAAACAGCAGTGTAGTAAGTAATTCATACAATAGGCTGTATTCCTTTTATGCTACATACATTTGAATTCTAAAAAGCAGGTGATCTTTGTTACCTTGTACATATGTCCACAGACAATTTATTAATGTTGTTTTTACTGTCTCCCACTTTTACATCTAATGTGAAAGCTTCTGTCACTGGAGTGCTTCTCCTGCGCCTTGATAATGTCTTCCTGTTGTACATTACATTAAACTGCAATAAAAAAAATCAAGAAACATGTCAGGTACTGTAATATAACAACCAATTTAAAAAATGACATTACCTACATTTAAAATATCTGTTAATTACATGAGGCTTAATTCACAAAGCTTCAACGCAAAGATACGGCTTCTCTATTTAGCCATGTGTTTTAATTTTTAAATCCTATTGGACTTATTACTGAAAAAAGTCACCTTTTTTAAATTAGTATACTTATCCTGGTATATTAGCCTGGTGAATTGAGCCAATGCATGTAAATTGTTATCAGCACATAGATAATGTAATACAAATTTAAAAAAACACTAATTATAAATTGGAGCTAGCTTCAGATATAGGGGTCTATTCACAAAAGGGTGAAGAGTTTGGAGAAGGTAGGAGAAGTGAACAATCTAGGACAACATAGCTGAACTGGAAAGTGAGCTGAATTGGAGAATTTTTCCAAATCGGCTATTTTGTCCTAGATTGTTCACTTCTTCAGGCATCATCCAGGGTCAGCATCTACTTCCTGAACTGAGATGCCGGTTCACTGATGAAACAGTCATATAAATACTGGTACCTGTGCTCACAGTGACAAATAAGTCCCCGTCGGTGACTTTCTACAATATAAGAATATTGCAGGCTGATCACTGGGGGAGAGAAAACTGAGGAAATGCTTTATCCTGCATTCATCAGACTAATGTCTTCTTCCCAATTCAGGCAAAATCTAGAGCGTAATGGCTGTTTTTAATAGAAAAGGTACTGCATTTTTGACAACAATACTGTGACTGTATAATGTGACATGTTGGCAATATATTCATGCAGACTTGTGAACTTACTAAGAGGTTTTAACAAAAATTCTTAAATGCAGACAATGCAAAAATACAAACACTAGTTAAGTTACAAGTTATCTTACCTGTACAATAGCCACTCCTCTTCCTACAACAGTCACATTGACTGACAAAGGATTGGAGACTTCAATCTAATCGTTAAAGAAAAATACCAGAATATTATATCTCAAACAAAATAAATCAGGTTGCTGACAGGTGTGTGTGTGTGTGTGTGTGTGTGTGTGTGTGTGTGTGTGTGTCTGTGTGTCTGTGTGTACACTTGTTTATAATTTACAATATATTATTATAAAATGGAATAATTATATTGTTCTATTTTATAACATTGTATCACTACCTGTTGACTTTGCAGCAAAAGTAAATTGTCATTGGTGATCTGAAATCGTTTTGGAATATTCACAGTTGAACCAGTAATAGACACAGTAAGTGCTGTATCCACAGCGGAAAAGGAAAAAACCTTGCACAGAGCTTGCAAGTTAAAAAAGGGTGTTGACAGGTGTGTGTGTGTGTGTGTGTGTGTGTGTGTGTGTGTGTGTGTCTGTGTGTCTGTGTGTACACTTGTTTATAATTTACAATATATTATTATAAAATGGAATAATTATATTGTTCTATTTTATAACATTGTATCACTACCTGTTGACTTTGCAGCAAAAGTAAATTGTCATTGGTGATCTGAAATCGTTTTGGAATATTCACAGTTGAACCAGTAATAGACACAGTAAGTGCTGTATCCACAGCGGAAAAGGAAAAAACCTTGCACAGAGCTTGCAAGGCCATAATTGTATCCTGTAAAGACATAAAAAACAAATGTTTAGCATATTATGAATACATATAAAGAAGCACTCCAGGATTTTTTAAAATTAACCCTTGCAGTGGGCTGCCCCAGCACTGCAAGGGTTAAATGCTCGTTTTCATCTAGGAGTGGAAAAAAAAAGTAGAAATTCTCTCCCCTTCTGCTCCAGCTGTGGTCAGTGCCTCGGTGTCTTTACATAATGAATATGTTTTAGTCATGATGTCCTTAGGCTGCCGAACCCCGGAGGATAGGAGTCTGTAGGGACAAGTCTAGCAGCCAAGTGGGTCCGAGGATTTTGTGAGTATTTTGTCTTTATTTTCACCCCTAGACAAAACAAGCACTTAATATTTGCAGTGTGGTGGCATCCCCACTGCAAGGTTATTTTTTTTAAATCCTGGAGTTCTTATTTAATAAATCAAACATGACAGATTTTCATCTCACACACCCAAATTAAAGAAGAACTCTGGACAGAAACTTAACCCTTGCAGTGGGGCTACCCCTACACTGCTAAGGTTAAGTGCTCATTTTGGTCTAGGGTCTAAAATAACAAAGATATACTCACCCAAACAACAAACCTGTCTAGCTGCTAGACCAGTCCCTGCAGCCTCTCTCTTCCCTCCCACCATAGCGGTAACCCCCTGCATACGTTTTATTCTGCCTGGAATTCTTCTTTAAGGCTCTCTATATCTGTCTGCTCTTTGACCATGCTATTTCTCCCTTAACTGATATAAAGTAATTCACATTTTTACCTGAGTCGATACATAGCCCCCAAGAGAACTCATTTGCTGGGTCAGCCATTTCAGCACAGGGAGAGCATCGGAAAACCTGCTCTGTTCATTGAAGGAAAGCAAGGCATAAGCTGCTGTTTCGATATCTGCTGTTCTTGGCTTCCAGTAGTAATTGGTTGTTGCAGAAGGTGAAGACCAGAACTTCAGCTCTCCTAAAGGGTTAAATAGTTATGTATAATGTTAGTACTTAATGTTTTGTACTTAATAATACATATCTGGAGTATAAAATAGCTTTAAAACGCACAAACTTGCACATGTTTTGTATGGACTTTGAAGTGTAACTCCAGCTAATTAATTTTTCAATAATTAATTTAATTTTGAATACAGTAGGGAAGGATTAGAAGTTCTGTCAATGAAAGTCTGACAACGGTTTCCTTTCACAGTCTAAAAAAATATAGGACTGTTTATACTGCTATCTCGGTCCCTATTCAATAAAAGGGGATTGATGGGTGATAAGGTACTAAAGGGTGACTCGAGGTGAAATAGTAGATTGAATTCAGTGCTTGAACAGACTTAAATATACTAGCTCCCCTTCTAGACTAAGATACCAGAATAACTTGTTGCTTGTGAGCACACTGCATTAAGATCATTGAGGGTCAGAGTCAACTATTCGGTGTCTGTGCCACCAAATAACTGTGATATGCTAAGAAAGGCTAACCACATTCTACAACTTAATGAATACTGTAGGTATGGATACCTCATACAAAAAAAAAGTTTTTTTTAATAATAGTATTTTGGGGTTTATGTAATTTAACCATTTAATATGTAAACAGTGCTTCACAAACCATACTAGTTGGCAATAACCCATGGCAGCCAACCAGGAATCAGTTTTCCACATTTTGGAGAGGACTGATTAAACTGGATTTCTGATCACCGTCTATAAGTCACTGCATACAGCTATTCTTTTAACTAGTCTAACGGGATAAGGTGATAACAACAATCTTAATACATATAATGCCACGGTGCATTTCTAAGCAACATCCTTGCCATCCTTTAACAAAGCAAGTATATTTTAAAATGTGACAAATAATGTGTTTGTATTCAGTACTGGGAATTTCTTGGCATTGTACAATGTATCTTTTGAATACAAATATAAAATAGCTTATTGACCACCCAGCTTATTGAATTAACACACATATATCATCTCATAGGTCTTGTAATACAAAGTGGATTTTACATTAAGAAATGTAAAGTAAAATTACTCAACAAAATGTACTTATTACAATACAATTTTTTATGTTTATTTACCTGCAGTGATTGCCATTGAATTGAGCTTGTTCAGGGCAGCCTCCGCTTTGGTGCTTTTAGCCAGGGTTAGTGCATATGCAACAACTGACAAGGTGTAGTTAGTGGAAATTCCATCATCGAATTTACTTTCAATATATTTTACAGCTCTCTGAATGTTTGCGTCATAGAGTTGCTATAGGAAAACAAAATACATAGAATCCAATTAAACTCTTTGCTTATATGTTTCCATAATTTCTAGATTATATTAAGATGGGCAAACCAGTCCACCACATTTAAGAGCCAAATGGACTCTACTAGTGGATATCAGATAGTCCTTTGGACTGTGTCCATTGTTTCCCCCACCTCCTTTTTATTTCATATTTTGTGAGTAAAATGTAAACAACAAATTGTGTCCCCCTCACCACAAAGCAAGACCAGCTCAGCACTCCAGGTGTACAGGTTGGTATTATTATAGTCGGAGGGTCAAAAGAGCTTTAGCCATTGTGCTCTTTAACACCAAAGAACTTCCCACTTATTATTGGGGAACCCTCAATTGAAAGCACCTGCATAGTGCTAATAGTCAGACAAGTTGACATAACCAGTATTCTGCCCTCCTTTATGGGGATGGCAGTATATATGCCAGGTACATAAAATTGTCTAATTTAGGGAAGAGAAATAATTAAAAAAAAAGAGATGATCACAAACAGATCCAAACACAGCTAATTCAGATAGCAGGAGCAGACTGGTGAGCTCCCAGCAGAGTGGGTTTTCCTTTATCTATATATTATATTTTTTATCATCATCAAGAAATAAGGGTGTTAATACAATCCAGTAAATAAAAACAATCCAGAAAAGTGATTTATAGTGAGCTAATTGCATCTTGAAATGTATTTCAAGTTTATGTGCAAATAATACTTACCCTATATGTTGCATCTTCCAAAAGTGAGGTCAGCACGTAAGCAGTTAGGGTGACTGGACCATCCAGTCCTCCTTGGAGTTCCTTGTGTATCACTATGCCAGGCTCAGTAAATACACCAGTGGTCATATCCTGGTATCGAACAAGCCATTGTGCTATGTCATCTAAGACTGCGGGACTTATGTATATAAATTCCCGAGCCTGAAGGAAGCATCTAAACACAAAAGCCGAGAGCCTACAATAAAAAAATACAAATAAGGAAAAATAATGTAAATATACAGGTGAAACTCGAATAATTAGAATATCGTGCAAAGTTCATTTATTTCACTAATGCAACTTAAAAGGTGAAACTAATATATGAGATAGACTCATTACATGCAAAGCAAGATAATTCAAGCCGTGATTTGTCATAATTGTGATATATATATATATATATACATATATATATGTGTGTTAAATATACAGATGAATAAATTAAGCATACACTTACAATAAGCATAGTTAGCTGTATATGTGACAGTATTATTATCACTCAAGACACATCTAATAATGTACCACTCACCATGTGCTTCCAGAGGAGTCAGCATTTCCAAAAACACTAAAAGAACCATCAGATCGCTTATATGTTAATTCTCTTTGGTAACCTGCAAAGAATACATCCATCACTTTAGTTTTCAGAAAATCAATGTGATTACACAATTAAAAAAATTCTATTCCAGCAGTTCACAATTTTTTTTTATGTAATCTAATCAAAAAACTAGTGTTTCTGAAAGCATCCATTTGCAATAAACATTTGGTTAGTTACTCTAGACTTAATATCCAGGGTTCAGTACTGTATAGTCCATCACTTCTGGTTCTCCTTGCCTCCCTGCTGGCTATAGATGTGATGGGGCCAGAAAAGAGGAGAGGAGAACAGGAAGAGGTGGGCCAAAAAGAAACCATAAAGGGACCTGGTCACGTTTTCCTGTATTACAGCACCAGTCACTGTAAAAAAAAACCAAAAAAAAACCTGTATGAGCATGCACTGGGATGTACATGCACTATAACTGGGCCACACTTGCTGTGTGCTTAAAATATTAGATTTAATTATGACTAATTATATATTCCAGGTCATACTACATGCTAATAACTCTTACAAACTGTACATTTTGTATATTTGCAAGTCACAGCTGACTATAAGAGATGTATACTTATCTACAATATTTTATTTAATCTGAAATGTTAAGTCAGTCATGAAAGAATTTACCTATATTCATGAAGCCTATAGATCTTGCTCTGATATCTTCAGTTATCTTTTTAGATGTAATTAAATATTGGAGAATATATATATTTGGTGCAAAGTTGATCATGTTTTGCTCTCCACATCCACATGGCATTTGGATAAGAGACTCTAGACCATTTATTGAAGGCACAAGAGGATTCCCTGTGTAGAAGAAAAAGACAGCACTGGTTTAATTATCCATAACATATGCCTATGTTCACTGATTTCTTTATAGAATACACAATAATGTGTTGTATTTATTTACACAGCCTTATCAAAATCTGCCATCATCAATAAACTATGCAGTCTGTGTTTAACTGGAAAAAAATTAAGATTACTGTATAAGCCCAATTAAAGCCGAAATACACTGTACGAATTTCGTACATTTGGCACCCTTTTCGGCCAGCATCCCTCAATCAGCTGATCAAAGGAGCCGGTCAGAAAATGTTCAAATCAACAGAGACTATAGAGAGCTCTGGTCAAACATACACCAGCCTCAGTTTAATTCTAAAAAGCAGCCACTTTCCTTTATACATTTGCTGGCTGCCACATTCTAAATACAGCAAATGTTACACTCAAATATGGGCAAATGTGTATCCATTAAATCTGACCACTTCATCAAAGCACAACTGACAAAAACTATTCCCTCTCACTGGGTTGCCTCATATTAGTGAAAGGAAGAAGCTAATGCCAACACCATGGTTGAACAGAGTAATACTTACCAACCACAGCAATAAATGCTTCCTCACTGCCTTGTACCACATCACTAGGCAAACTGAATGAGAAGTTCTTTGATGCTATCTGACTTGCATTTCCCAAGGCCGAGAGGCCAAACAGTTCTGTCTGTGTATAAAAGTACTTCACTCCTTCAGCCTATAGAGAAAAAAATATACAACCGGTTCAATGATTGTCGAAGTAGAAGAAGCTGTGCTAACAAACACATTTCACACATTGTAAACTGAGGTTGGCCATACTTCTTACATAGAGGTATGCTTTGTGGGATAGCCCTGGTGGGGAGTGGGGAACCAACCAAAACCCACAACCTGATTAGAACACAGAGTTTTTCCAGAGTTTGGGCAATTATGCCCAAAGTGTATTATTGGCTGCCCAGATTTCAAAGACTGTGATAAACCACTGCCATGTTACAAGAGACAGTATGTGACAGTTGCCATGTTGCAAGTAAATGTAAGTATTCACTCTTATATTATTTTGAGAACCTGTTGCCAAATGATCTCATGTTGCAAAAAACTGTAAATGAATGCTGCCATACCACTAAGTGACTGCATGAGTGCTGACATTCTACAAGAGTTGCTTGTTAAAAATTGTGTCAGTCATCCTATTTGTAACATAAGCAGGGGAGCTGTGCTCTGAGATAAGTGATTAATTGAGCAGAATGTGTCTATTACTATTTAAATAATCTTTAATTGATGGTCTTGCTACTCTAACCAGTGAAAACCCATAGCACGGCATGGGTCTTCTACATCTTCTGTGGAAAATAGAAGTGGAGTGGCTGATAGGTAACAGACAGCTACACAAGTGTGGTGAGGGAGGGATACACAAAAATGGGGCACAGGATGGGTTTTGGACCCAAGAGTTTGGACCAGCCTGTTTTAAACAAAGAAATCTGAACACACAAAAATATTTTATTGCATAAATGATTCATATTACAACAGTCAAGCACAAATTAACAACTAAAAGCAAATCATTTGTTGTGAATATATGTTGAAAACAGAGATATTTAGTTAAACTGAACATTTTTCTGTACATATCTAAGTTGTATTTGTGATGTTACTCACCTTCACTAGAATACTCTGGGTTAAAACATCTGATGATGCTTTCGATGCTGCTTTAACTGTGAGGGTGAGGTTACCAAGTTTCTTTGGCTCTATTGGAAACAAAACAGTTGTTCCATCTTCTCCGGGAACAATTACTTTCTGTTGGCCAGCTACCATAGGTGTAGAGGTTTTATTATTATTATTAAAAGGTACAATTATATTGAAGGCAGTGTTACTTTCCATAGTGACCAGAACCTGTAAACACAGAAAGGGTATTAATTATATTACAAAAAAGTCCTCCCCCAAAAATTTTTTATGGGTATTATTCTGATTCTTTGACTTTGACCATTATTTTGGAATAACTGACCCAGAACAAGCATGCAGATCAGAATGTGTGTGTATATACATTTATTTACGCAAAGGAACAGCATGACAAGTAACTAGCATTTTCAGAAAGAGATCAGTGTACTGAAACATGAGATTCAGGCCTCACCTACTTTTTTACTTTCCAGTTTTCTACTTCTATCATTTCCAGCCTTGCCCATTCACATTTTTTTTTTTTTTGATTGAAATTTTTGTTTATTTTGAAAATTTTTAAAGATACACAATACACAATAATGCATAAAAATAAGCAAAATCACCTACATAACACACTAGACATTAGACATGTGAATGGGATGTTGAATTGCATTCTAGCCCATTCACATTTTGTAAAGATGATGGAATTATACATTTACCATGCCGAAAAAATAACAGCTTGAGTGTTCTACCTCCACCATCAAACTGCTATAAAGCAAACATCTTGTATTTATCTCACAGCTTTTATTCTCTCCATCTACTTGCCTCATTTCATGAGAGAGCA